CTCTCTCTGGGCCCTTCCAGGGAGCTGCTCTCTCTGCGTGGTTCCCACCTCATTTCCCTGGGAATCAGTGGGGGGCAACTCTTCACACCCTGTGGGCTGTCCGCCGGCTCCGGAACTCTCCAGATTTGGGGAGGTCTCTCCCCGGCCCCCACCCAAATGTCTGCCCAGGGCCCACAGTGCAGGCTCTTACTCCTGGCCTCCCAAAACCATTTTTCTTGAGCCCCAACACCAGGAAGTGTGCCCCACTGACCCCCTAACCCAGGCTCCCTGACTCTGCCTCCTGTGACCCACCTGCCCTGCTGACCCCCGCAGGTGGCTTCAGCTCTCCTTGCCCCCCACCAGCCAGCTACAGAATGCACCTCCCCTTCGCTTTAATAACCACACTGAGGGCAAATTATTGATAGGTGACAGATTTTTATTAGAGTTTTCACAGCCAATGATGACCCAGCTGCGGGAGACCAGCTCTAGGGGTCACCGAGAGGCTGGTTCTGCCCCGAACTGGCCCTTTACTGGGTAGAAGCCACATGCACAGAAAGCCACAGAGTAATTTTTCACAAGGTAAGAAGAGGCCCAGCTGTCCCTAACACGTTCCAGCAGCGAAAGCAGGTGGGTTTCTAGCAGCGCAGCTCACTGCTGAAGGACAGACGCTGCTCATCACGTCAGAGCTGCCCTGGGGCCCTCAGAGCTCGGCCGCAGAGCTGGGGGCCGAGGCGGAGGCCCCGCCCTGGCCCCCTGAGGCCCGCGGGGCAGCAGGCTCCGCTCTCCTCCCTTCCTGCCCCTCAGCCCCTGGCGGGCTGGGAGAGGGGCCCTGTGAGGACCTGTCTGACTCTCCCTGCGGCTCCCAGGCTCCTCCCCGGGAGCCGCCAGCGCCCTGCTGGCTGCAGCCTGTAGGTGGCGCTGGCGGGCGGAGGCCGAGCTGCCCTCTGCCGCCAGAGCCCCTGGGAGCTGTGATTCCTGGTCCAGGCCCTCAGCTCCAGGCCATGACCTGCCTGGCGGCCTCTGTCCCTCCAGCCAGGTAGCTCCACTCTGTGTCCCCACACTGCCCTGCTCCCTGCACGGCCCCGGGGTGGGGCGCCAGGCCCTACTGCAGACTCTTGTAGAAGCTGTTGAGCTCCTCCAGCAGCTTCTCCAGGTTCTGGGCATGCTCCCTCAGCTTTTCCCCCAACTCTGACTTTGTCCCTTGATGCAGCTCCTTTGAGTCTCGGACAAGGTTGACCACGTCTACCCCGATGAAGCCGGCTGAGAAGATTCCACCCAGGACCGGGACTGCTTTTCCCATCTCCTTAGCAGTGGCTCCAAACAGTAGTTGTGCCAAGCCGGCAGCCCGAGCGAAGCCTTGGCCAAAAGCACCAAAGCATTTGTCTATTAAGCCCAACTCTCGAAGACGCTTGACATATTCCTCAAACGTGGCTAGTTCCTCCCGTTCAGAATTTTCTGAAATCTCTTGTAAGGCTGCAAAGAAACATTTGATCCTGCTCTTGATGCTGGAAACACTTGACTCCAAGTTACGGATTTCATCTTGGATAGATGACAGGTTTTTTTGTTCCACGAGGCTGGTGGTCACAGAGGTGCCAGCGGATAATACTCCCAGCCCCAGCCCAGTGGCCGTCACGGCCAGACTGGCCCCTGCTGTGAAGGGGGCAAGAGCACAGCCAACTATGGTCGTGACACCAGACACGACGCCCGAGGTGCTGGCTGCCACCTTGGCGATGGCACAGTCTCTGTGCACCTTGTTGGCCCAGTCAGCGAGCCAGTGGATCTGACCTATGAGCTTCTCAATCTCATCCTTCAATGGAGGAAACATCTTCAATAACACTGCTCTGCACTTCTGCTCTCGGTCGGACATGTTGTCGCCGGGGCCCCGGATTGTCTTCCGCTCACTGAGTTTTGCACGCAGCGAATCTGGCTCCTCCTGTGGCGGGACAGGTGGGCGATTAACACAGAGAGTACAAGAGAATTTCTCAAAGTGAAGGAACAGTCTATCAACATTAAGTGTGTTCCAACGGTAGCGTTCAGGAGTAAGGAGACTAGTCAGCTACAGTCAGCTTCACCGCTGCTAAGTGGTCGGCATTGGATAAGACGCTGCAATAATGGCCGGTCAGAGTCAGCACAGCAGGGTTTGTGCAGCCTCCGCTGTGCAAATAACCTTGACCAGTTCATGCCAGCCATGGCTGTGTGTGCCGGTCTGCCCGGTTCTCAGCAATGAAAAAAGTTGAGGCCCTCCTGGTGGTCAGCGGGTTAGGACACAGCGCTGAGCTTGCTACAGCGGCTTCGGTGCCAGTTCGATCCCCGCCTGCCCCGGAGGTGACCACATGGCGCGGCAGACCTCTGCTGGCCCGCCCGCTGCTCCCCTCAGCAGTGGACTTCGTCGATCTGCCTGTTCTGCTCCCCACTCTGTCTCTGGTGAATTTTCTCGCCCCCCTGATCCTCTGGCCTGCACCCCAGTTCTGTTTGCATCAATAATGAATAAATCTTTAAAAAAAAGTTGAGCCAGGATTCTTTCTCTATACAATATATTTTCTTTTTGTTCTGCTTGTGATTCTCCTCTGTCATGGGAATTGGGAAGACAGTAACTACTGATTACTGTGGGCACTTTGCAAAATCACAGTCTAGCTTTGCTTTCTGGGGGATTCCACCTATTCACTGTGTTTTCCCTGGTGCCAGTGCTTGTCCTCTGCTCCTGCATTCCTTGGCCTTTTCCTGGATGTTTCACTCTGTGTTAGAAGGAACTTGATGGGCCTCCCTGGCGTGCAGTGGGTTAAAGCACAGCCCTATGAAGCGGCTGCAGCTGCTTCAGCACAGTTGGAAACCACCCCCCACCGCACCCCCCACCCCACGGAGCTGACCCCCAGGGCTTGGCTGACCTCTCCTAACCCGCCACTGCTCCCCTCAGTAGTGTCCTTTGTCAGTCGGCCAGTTCTGCTCCCCGCTCTGTCCCTGGTGAATCCTCTCCCACCACGCCCAGTACCTCTACCCTGTAACCCAGTTCTGTATCAATCAATCAATAAATATTTAAAATAAGTAAATTAAAACATTAACAGTGGCCAAGGGCACCACGAGCTAAGTGGACGCTGACACTGAGCCGAAGAAGGCAACGAGGGTAGCACAGCCCACATGAGCGGGACCCGAGCTGTTTCAGGGGAGCACCGGGCCAATGTCCCTGGAGGAGACGGGCCCAGGGTCCCATGGCCGCGGGGGGCCGCGCAGGGACCGCAGCGGGCCTCCAGGTGCTGGAGTGTAGGGCACAGGGGGCTTGATGGCCCCGGCCCCAGCCTCTCTGAGGGACACCCAAACCCCACGCTGGGGCAGCCGCTCTCCAGGCCTGCAGCTCGGTGGGGCCGGAGCGGGGTCCCAGGGCTCTGCACTGGGCCTTCCGCACTCGGGGCGCCTCCAGTGTGGGGCAGGGAGGCCTCTTCTTCCCACACCCACAGGACACAGCAGAGGCTGGGGCAGGCCCAGTGATGACCCTGCTCCCTCTGCCAGGCTGGGACCCGGCAAGTCGCTCCCCTCTCAGGGCCTCAGTTTCCCCAGGGACCTGCCCTGAGCAGGCTCGGGGCTCTGAGTGGGACACACGCCCACTGGGGTCCCAGTGTCCCATAATCACCTGGATCCCTCCTGGCTGAACAGAAAGCTTCACCCTGGGTCTCAGCAGCGGCACCCCGGGGTCCGCAGCCAGCCTGCCTGCCACAGGAGAAGTGGGGGCTCCTGCACTCCTCTGGGGTCTCCAGAGTTCCTGAGGCCGAGCACCCCGCATCACCTTCCTTTGCCTCACTGCTCGTGTCTCATGTCTCAGGGCCCGGTGACCTGGCTTTGCTGGGGACTCACGGGGGGCCCCTCTGAGCTGGCCCAGTCCCTCCACAGTTAGGGCCACAGGAGCTGGGGGAATGCACTAGCAGAGCAGCCTCTGGGGCGCCCCTGCGTGACCTGGCCCCCACAGCCTCCGACTCCGCTAGGCTTCTACAGGGGTGACCGTGGGGCCTCCCTGCTGACCTCGGGTGAGATCTCAGCGCTAACGCCGCTGTGGCCTGAGTCAGATCCCACCAGGGAGTGACCCACAGGGTGCAGCAGACCTCTCCTGTTTCACCTGCTGCTCTCCTCAGAGGTGAATTTCAGTGCTTCCTGTTCTGCTCCCCACTCTGTCTCTGGAGAAATCTCTCACCCCCCACAGCAATGGCTTATACCCCACTTACTTTGTACGTAAATACAAAAATCTAAAAAAATAAAGCGGTGACCAGGATCCTTGCTCAGAGCTGGCTGTGAGGGTGAGAAGGTCGGTGGGGCCCCAAACCCAGCTTACCTGAACCACACTCAGCTGAGTGGAAGGAGACCCGCAGGAGACCAGGGTGCTCGGTGCAGGTCCAGCCACAGCTGAGCCTGTGTGACACCAGACCCACTTCTGCTCTCAGTCAGGAAACGAAACAGAAAGCAAAACAGCAAAAGTGAGCAGATGAGGACAAACAAACACACCACAGGGCCCCGCCGACCTCCATGCCGGGGCCTCGCTGAGCCCGGGAGAGGGCCCAGACCCACCTTTCTGCTGCTCCCGGCTCAGGGGTCGCGAGTCCTTGGAGAGAACTGCGGGGACAGACTGGGGCCCCGGGAGAGGCTGTCCCGCCTGTGGGTGCGCCCCCGTCCTCCTTCTGTGTCCAGGCCCAGAGGGTCATGTGATTCGCCTCCAGGCCAGGCACCTGCACAACCTGACCCGAGGCCCAGGAGACTGTCCATGGCGGCCCAGGAGACTGTCCATGGCAGCCCAGGTCACTGTCCACGGCGGCCCCTGCTGCTGTCTCGTCCACCCGGCGTCTATGGGTTTGATCCTCGGCTCTACCCAGGCACCAGCCGCTACCTCCTAGCGGTCACCTCGTCCTTCCTGGCCCAGTCTGCCATGGCCTCCTCTGAGAAGCCCTCAGACCCTCCCCAAGGCTGCTCTGTCCAGGCCCTTCTCCGTGGCCCCTGGGGGGTTCCTGAGTTTCTGGCTCCCCACTGTGCCTGGGCTCTGCCCTGGTCAGATCTCTCATGGAGGAACACACGGTGCCCCTGGGCCTGTTGCCCAGCACGAGGAGGCCACCTTGGTTCAAGGAATAGACGCACCATCCCCCGGGAGAGCCTGGGGGCTCAGCTGTTCCCTGCCTGGGTCTGACGCTGGAGCCAGATCTCCCACCACACAGAG